CCTGCGGATGTTTGACTTAACTGCTTTCCAGGAGAAACATCAGACACACGATCCTTTACTCTGATTGGTTGATAGACGCTCGTGTTGGGTTCGGTGGCAGGCAAACTTCCATAAAACCTATTATGTAACTACGACGGAATCTAATAACGGTTTCTTCTAGCGCTCGAACTTCCCTGCCTGAATATTACAATAGTATCAGACTCCATCTCCATGCCACATTCAGGAATTTACTACTTCTTTCGAAACAAATACACTAAAAGCATCAAACACGTCTTGCGTACAAAGAGCTAGAATACTTTAAAGCTAATGAAAATAAAGTAAGCTATATAATTTGATTCGCAAGTTTTTTTTATTTTGTTATATTTTTCTTTTTGCATAAGTAAAACATAAACTATTGCTCCTTCAGCTCTCCAACAGTATCGTACACTCCCGCACATGATTTTGTTACCATAAAAATGATTAAGTTCTAATACTCGAACATGTTTATTTCAATGTGAGATGAAGAAAGCTATACTTCACTTGTTTTCAAGCTCAGTAAACAATCGCTCACCAAAGGGTTCTGTATTACCATAATTTTACAACTGACATCAAATATACCATAAATTAATCGCATACCCAACCAGAGTAAGACCTGGTACTTCTATCGGCCTGCTATAAAAGATACTCATGGACGAAATTCGGATTTTTTTTTTACCTACTTCAAATGCATTAGGGTGTGGATTAACTCTATGGTACATTCTGAATTTCGTAACATGCGAACCGGGTTCGAATCTGTGAGCTATCACAAAACATATCAGTGCTTTATAAGAAAGACAGTCAATTCCTTAGCATTGGCGGTAAATGAGAGAGTACTCCTGAATGTCTGCCTCCCTCTGGTAAATAGTTCAAAATTAGGTACAAACACAATACGAAAAAAATACAATTTTCTTCTTATAAACTAATCACAAAGAAACCTTAAAACACGAAAAATAAAATAGTTAGGTCCATAATAGTAAGCTTCCAGACGCTCAATGCAAAAAAAAATCGAATATTTATTTTTTAAAAACAAGAACTATTATCATATTTAAAGTACATTTTGGGAGGATAATTTGGTAATATTTTGAAACGATAGCGACATAGAATATTAAATTTACAGAAATTAAGAAAAGAAAACTTGAGCACAAGCAACACTTTCGAGCAAGATCATCATTAAGGTTTGTTTGTTTGTACTATGGATTTCTCACAAAGCTACTCGAGAGTTATCTGCGCTAACCGTCCCTAATTTTAATGATAGACTAGAGGGCATGATACAACTAGTCAACACCACCCACCGCCAACTTTTGAGCTACTCTATTATCTATAAAATATAATATTGACCTCACATTATAATGTCCCTCACGCCTGAAAGGACGAGCATGTTCGTTGACAGGATTTATAACCTGCGACAAGCAGACATCGTAAAAGGAATACTTTTATTGTTATATTTTCAAAATACAATTTGTGTTTCACCAAACTAGCCTCGTCTTAAAATGATGAATCATCATCATGTATAGTAACTAAAAATAGACGGAAATATATTTTTGAGTATATCAAAATAAAGTTTCACGTAGTATATATTTAAGTATAACTTTGGCAGGGAATAAGTGAATTTGAGATTCTTATTGTCAGTCGTCATGTTTTGATGATATTTTACATTAACGCCAAACGGTACTTAACTAAAATACTTTATAGAAATATATATTATTTGGCTTTCTACTTCCTTATTTTATATAATATTGCGTTAAGTTGTTGTTCACATAAATCGGAAATAATGTATAAAACATATAAAATACAAGGCCTGATCAGCACAGATTCATTATGTTAGGTCGTCAAGAAATTAATGTCGCTTTTTTTTTAGATGAAAAAACCCGAACAACTTATATATCAAAACAAAACATTTATTAAAGGAAATAGTCTCCATTCTTATCGATGATGCTTTTCCATTTTGCAATCAAGTTGTTAATACCCTGATTAAAGAAATCACTTGGATTTGAAGAAAAAAATATGTCAATGCTCTTTTTAACACCTTCTACATTTGCATACGTTTTCCCATTAAGATGGTGTTACAGCGAACGAAAATAATGGTAACCTGATGGTGCCATATCTGGAGTATATGGTGGATGGGGGAAACTTCCCAACCCAATTCCATAATATTGTGTTGAGTCAAACGTGCCACATGTGGACGTGCATTGTCGTGCAGAAGAAAAACACCGATCCGATTGACGAGTGAAGGGCGTTTCTGATGAAGGGCTTGATTTTAAACGTTCCATTTGCTGACTATATATCTCTGCATTGATAGTTCGCTGTGGATTGAAGAGTTCGAAATAAATTACTCCTTTGATGTCCCACCAAATGCAAAGCATCACTTTCTGCAGATGGAGTCCTGGTTTTGGAGCCGGAAGTGGTTTTTGTCTAGGACTGAGCCATTGTTTTTTGGCGTTTAATATTCGC